ACAGAATACAAATCATAAGTAACAATGCACAAACACCAGTGAGAAATTAGATAACTGGGAGCTCCTAAAAATCAAACACTTATGCTCATCAAAAGACTTCACTGAAAGACTAAAAAGACAACCTACAGACTGGGAAAAAATTTCGGCTACGACAAATCCAATCAGCATCTAATCTCTAAAATCTACAAGATACTGCAAAACCTCAACAGCAAAAAGACAAATAACCCAATTAAAAAACGGGCAAAGGATATGAACAGCACTTCACCAAAGAAGACATTCAGGCAGCTAACAGATGCATGAAGAAATGCTCACGATCATTAGCCATTAGAGAAATGAAAATCAAAACTACAATGATATACCATCTCACTTCAACAAGGCTAGCATTAATCCGAAAAACACAAAATAATAAATGCTGGAGAGGTTGTGGAGAGACTGAAACACTTACACACTGTTTGTGGGAATGTAAAATGGTACAGCCACTTTGGAAATCCATTTGGTGTTTCCTTAGAAAGGAGAAATAGAAGTACCATTGATCCAGCAATCCCACTCCTTGGAATATATCCTAGAGAAATGAGAGCCGTCACACAAATAGATATACGCACACCCATATTCATTGCAGCACTGTTCATGGTAGCAAAAAGATGGAAACAACCTAGGTGCCTATCAACGGACGAATGGATAAACAAATTATGATATATTCACACAGTGGAATACTATGCAATGATAAAGAATAATGATGAATCTGTGAAGCATCTTATAACATGGAGGAATCTGGAAGGCTGAGTGAATTTAGTCAGTCACAAAAAGACAAATATTGTATAAGACCACTATTATAAGAACTCAAGAAAAAGTTTAAACATAGAAGAAAACATTCTTTGATGGTTACGAGGATGGGGAGGGAGAGAGTTATTCACTAACTAGATAGTAGACAAGAATTATCTTATGTGAAGGGAAGGAAACACACACTACAGGGGAAGTCAGCACAACTGGACTAAACCAAAGCTAAGAAGTTTCCTGAATACAACCAAACACTTTGAGGGGCAGAGTAGCAGGGATAGGGGTCTGAGGACCATGGTTTCAGGGGACATCGAGGTCAATTGGCATAAAAAAGTTTATTAAGAAAATGTTCTGCATCCCACTTTGGTGAGTGGCGTCTGGGGTCTTAAAAGCTAGTGAGCAGCCATCTAAGATGCATCAACTAGTCCAAACCCACCTGGAGTAAAGGAGAATGAAGAACACCAAAGACACAAGGAAAATATTAGCCCAAGAGACAGAAAGGGCCACATAAATCTGAGACTCCATCAGCCCAAGACCAGAAGAACTAGACAGTGCCCAGCTACCACCAATGACTGCCCTGACAGGGAACACAACAGAGAGTCCCTGACAAAGCAGGAGAAAAGTGAGGTGCAGAACTCAAATTCTAGTAAAAAGACAAGACTTAATGGTTTGACTGAGACTGGAGGGACCCCAGAAGACATGGCCCCTAGACTCTCTGTTAGCCCAAAACTAAAACCATCCCCGAAGCCAACTCTTCAGACAAAGATTAGACTGGCCTATGGATGTAAAAGGATACACGTGAAGAGTGTACTTCTTAGCTCAAGTAGGTACATAAGACTAAATTGGCAGCTCCTGTCCAGAGGCGAGATGAGAAGGCAGAGAGGGTCAAGAGCTGGTTGAATGGACACTGGAAATCCGGGGTAGAAAGGAGGAGTGTGCTGTCACAGTAAAGGGAGAGCAACTAGGGTCACATAACAATGTATGTATAGATTTTTGTATGAGAGACTAACTTGAATTGTAAACTTTCGTTAAAGCACAATTTTAAAAAAATCTTAGAAAATAGACATCAGACAGGAAATCTCTGAGATTCCTACCATCCCCTGCCCTTTTACCTCTATTTGCACCCATTTTTCTTATTTCTTTCCTTCTGACATAACAAGGCTAAATCCTCACCAGGTTTCTGGATTTGTACTCCTTTTTACTGGGCAACTCTTAGTGGCTTTGCTCTCTGCTGCCTCTTCTCCGCTGGCTCTTTGTCTCAGCATTTAAACATGTTCAAGCCTGCGTGTCATTTTGAAGACAAACCTGTTGGTGTCTTGGTGTCTCTTGAGGGAGTTTCTTACGTCTGTCTCTGCTTGCTCATCTCCTGTTCACTCTTAACACCCACCACTCCTTAAACACACCCACCCTGTTCTTCCCCTTGGAGGGATGAGAGGTGCTGGAACCTCTCACCAATCCTGTTCTAGTTGCCAGACTATCTGGATGTTTTTTGAGCCTTTTCTCACGCAGCCACTTACGGTTGACCTTGTTCTTGAAATTACCCTTTCTTTATTTCTAAGACCTGTCACTCTTTATTCTCCCAACTCCCTACTCCTCCAAGGCAATGGCTGCTCCAACAATATCATAAGAGCAATTGCAATTCTTTTCTTGTGCTTCCTCATTCTGAGGTACCTGCTATTTTCCCTTTCTAGAAAAACCTTCATAGCCTTCTCTTTCTACCTAACGCCTACTAATCTTTCAAGACCCAACTCCAATACTCTGTTCCTCCAGAAAGTCCCCCAACTCCAAACTAGATGAGGTATCTTTTTTCTAGTACCCATAGCATCTTGTGCAAACCTCTACTTAAAACTCAGTTGCACTGTTTTCAATGGCCAGGTTACTTGTGTTGCTTTGATAGCTCATCTGTAAACCCCTGGACAATATGTATGCACGTAGCCTGTCATGAAGTGTACGTTCAATAAAAATTGATTGAATGGAATTGAATCACAATACATATAGAGGAAGTCCCAGTGAAGAGGACCCATAATCATAGACTTCTATGAGAATTTTACTTTCTTTTCTGCATAGCAAATGACCTGTCCCGTCTGTGGCTACCTCTCTCTTCCACTTGCGCATGCTGGAAGACAATAGTCTTCATAGTTTACAAATGCTCAAGGAGGGTTCTCTTGGTTCCTTCTGTCATGATGACTATGACAGGATGGACATTAAATGTACTGAGAGGGGTGGGTGGCTACTGGAGATAAAAAGAAGATGTAAAAAGGCAGGCTAGGCAGGATCACCATATTCAAGATCAGACAAAACACTGATTTTGAAGAAGACAGTTTCATGCCCTGTATATCATGTATTTCCAATGACTGTAAGCTCCTTAAGATCAAGGGCCATGTCTTGTGTTTCTTGTTACTCCTTGCAGTGTGAGGCATCTGGAAGGTATTAGCTTATTTTTCCAAGACAGTCCTCTGTGTGGGGATCTCTGCATCAAATACAGGTCTCAGCCTGCCTCGGTGGTACCCAGTGGCACCAGTAGTACCCCACTGTGGTGTCACCACACTAGTATTCTGCACCTGTGTCTGTCTTCCGACTACTGAAAGTGCGAGGGCTGCGTCTTTTACTCGTTGCTGTGCCCCAGCATGTAACAAAGTGCCTGGCACGTACCAATTACTGTTGAGTCAATTTGACTCATTGTGACCCCATGTGGGTCAGAGTAGAATTGCGTTCCATAGAGTTTTCAAAGGCTGTGATCTTTCAGAAGCAGATTCACAGGCCTTTCTTCTGAGGCACCTCTGGGCATATTCAAACTGCCAACCTTTGGGTTAGTAGCCAAGTACTTAACTGTTTTTGCCACCCAGGGACACTGCCTAAGTGACCTTATGTGATACAAAACATGTATAAATAGAGGTTGTTGTTGTTGTTAGTTGGCATAGAGTTGACTCCAATTCATGGTGACATTATATACAATAGAACAAATTGTTCCTGGTCCTGAATCATCCCCCCAATCGCAGCATGTTTTAGTCCATCATTGCAGCTACTGTGTCAATCCATCTCACCGAGGGTCTCCCATGCTCTTGTTGGCCCTCTGCTTTGCCAAACATGGTGTTCTCCCCTTGTGGTTGACCCCTCCTGATGATGGCTCCAAAGCAAGTGAGTCAGACAATGTTCTGTTGTGATCTATAAGGTTTTCATTGGCTAATTTTCAGAAGTAGATTGCCAGGCCTTTCTTCCAAGTCTGTCTTAGTTTTTTTCTTTTTTGGGGGGTGACCCTGTTGGTATTTGAAGTACTGGCATAGCTTCCAGCATCACAACAACATACAAGACACCACAGTACAACAAACTGATAGACAGCAGTATGAATATATACACATGCACATTTGTTTTCTATGTTCATATGTAGTTGGCTTGTAGGTTGATAGGAGGTATGAAATCTCAGATGGCTGGACTAGTTGATGATTTAGCTTAGGAAAACAGAAATCTCTGTGATTTTTTTTTTTTTTGATATCTTGACCAGTTTGTGGGTATCTCAAAACTATTCTAGAATATATGTTGTTGTTGTTATTTTTCGGTGTTGTCAAGTCAATTTAGACTCATATTGACCCCATGTGACAGAGTATAACTGCTCCATAGGATTTTCTTGCCTGTAATCTTCACAGAGGCAGATCACCAAGACTTTCTCCCACGGAACGAGGGTGGGTTCGAATCAGCAACCTTTCAGTTAGCAACCAAGTGCTTAACTTTTTGCATCACCAAGGCTCCTTCTAGAATATACAGAAACAACCATTATACCAAACTCTGAAGGAATATAAAGATTTATGAAAGGACCTTAAATTTAGATGTGTCAAATATTGCTTAAAACCAGTCCTTGGAGGCCACATCTCTCTGAAAGCAACTCTCATTGTGATGGCACCACCCTGCATGCACCTCCTAAACCATGAAACAAAGATCCCCCTACATTTCAGGCAAAACTTGCAGAGTCTTCCCATTTCTTCTTTGATTTGGATTTTTCTGTCTTGGCTGGAGTTTACTAAAAGTTCCTTTGCATTTCCTACAAACATCTATTTCCCTAAACCTAAGACTTAAATTTATGTCTCCTGAAGTTCTAGGAAGGGCAGGATTTTTTGAGCTAAACTCCTCTGGCCACCCACGACTGTTCCCTTGTCTCTTCACTTATTTGTCCCAGAGCCCTGCCCTGCACCTAAAATAACCACCTTTGCCAATCCCTCCAAACCCAGGTAGACTTGAGGCGCCAGCTGATTTCCCAGACTATGGAGGAGATACAGAAAGTCGTCCACTGTTTGACCACAGAAATCAGCCACCAAGACATTAGATTTCAAGCTGTCCCTTACTCTGACGCTTACAATGGGAACATTAAGGTAAGCAAGTGTCACCTGTATGTTAATGCCCACCGAGAGAGCCATGGGATTTGGCTGTGGGGAGCTTAGTGCCTGACAAGTACTCGCACTGCTAAGAATACTAATAATAATAGTTTGTTTCTGCAGACACTTACTATTTATCATTTACAAAATCATTTCATAGATGTTATCTCATTTAAGTTCCCACTTTCCTACTTTACAGATGATAAGAATGGAGGCATAGAGAAGTCAAATGAGTAACTCAAGTAATATGAGGCATGAAAGCCAGAATGCAAACCCAGTCTTCTGATTCCAGAACACTTGCCACACTAATGATTAAAGTTTATTTAAACACAGATTTGTTTATTAAGCACCTACTTTGTTCTGTGCTAGCTTGTGAGAGGTTCTGGAGAATTGACTCACACTAAACCAATACACAGAGATTGAGTTTATCTATTAATAATGGGGACCGTGGTGGGAATATTTATGCTCACTTATAGGTCATTGCTTTCCTAATAAGGATGTCTGGGGAAACACAGTTCTTCAGAAGTTCGATTGGCTTGAGCAGAGAATCAGAGTAAAGAGAGGTACATCATTTTCTGAAGGCATATGAAAGCAAAAAAATCAAAACACTCGCCATCAAGTTGACTCTGACTTATGGCGACCCCATATGTTGCAGAGTAGAACTGTGCTCCACAGGGTTTTCAATGGCTGTGACCTTTTGGAAGCAGATCAGCAGGCTTTTTTTCAAGGCATGTCTGGGTGGATTTGAATTGCCAGCCTTTCAGTTAGTAGCCAAGCACTTAACCAAGTACGCCACCAAGGACTCCTGAAGGCCTAGTAGAACCTGTAGAATGTGTATTCAGCAAACAGTGACCCACTGTGTATCTGACACTACACTACAGGCTCAACCACTAGGTTGACCCAGGTTGGGGACTGGGGTGGGGGTGGGGGGGAAGGAACAGAGGGCATTGGTAACAAAATAGTTAAAAGTGAGAGTCTGTAGGCTGCAGGTGGGGGAAGGAAGAAAGTGAATGAAAGAGGCAGTCCTTAGAAACTGAGGAGCAGCCTCTCAATGCCCCCTGCTAAGGAACCCCACAGAGCTATCAGCCACAGAGCCAGTGCATGACAACCAGCATTCCTGCAACACTGTAGTGTGGACAAAGCTCTTCTCACATAAACCTGCAAACCACCTCATGAAGACACACGATGGCTATCTCAGTTTCAGAGATGAGAAAAGCCAAACTCTGAGTCATTCTGAATCTCCATAATTCCTTGTCTCAATTTTTCTTATGACACATAAGAGCCCCTTTTACCTTGTATTAAGTGTATATATATTCATGCCCTATTTCTCACACCAGACTATACGTCCCTTGATGGTAGGATCATGTTTATTGTTTGCTTCAATTCTAGCACCCAGTATGGTCTGCGGCACATAGCACACACTCATAGCACACACTCAACTTACGTTGAATGAATGAATGAGCAAAAGAATTGGTACTTGAACAAAAGACTGTTGTTCTTCTAGTACATTATGAGGGTGGCTGGACACAGGTTGGTAGGCACAAGTACCAACCACAAGATTTTGGGACTTGTGGACAGAGTCAGATCTTAGGAAATTCACTCCAGAAAGAAAATTGTAAAACTAGATTGGACCCTGGAATGTCAGAACATCACCTGTCCACTCCAGGCAAACCTAAATTGGACAAATATAGACCAGTTGCAAGGAATACAATGATAACATCACTTTTCCTAGAACATACCCCAGGATATTTCCCTCTGTGTTCCCACTCAGAATTCATAGCTTGAAATATATCTTGCATTCATATACATAATGACCTACATATTAAGTTTTGAAAAAAATTGCACTGTAGCATATAAAAATTGCTTTTATTTTATCATGGACCAAATTCAACAAGTATTTAATAAGCACCGTTTACATGACTAACAACATGATAGTTGTTGTTAGGTGCCGTCCAGTTGGCTCTGGCTCATGGTAATCCTATGTACAACAGAGCAAAACCCTGCCTGGTCCTGCTTCATCCTCAAAATCATTGCTATGCCTGAGCCCATCATTTCAGCCACTGATCAGTCCACCTCATTGAGGGTTTTTCTCTTTTTCACCGACCCTCTACCTTACCAAGCATGATGTCCTTCTCCAGGGACTGGTCCCTCCTGAAAACACGTTGAAAGTATGTAAGACAATGTCAATCTCGCTTCTAAGCAAAAATCTGGCTGTACTTCTTCCAAGACAGATTTGTTGATTCTTCCGGCAGTCCATGATATATTCAATATTCTTTGCCAACGCCATAATTCAAATGCATCAATTCTTATCCCATCTTCCTTATTCATCATCCAGCTTTCGCATGCAAATGAAGTGATTGAAAATACCATGGGTTGGATCAGACACACCTTAGTCCTCAAGGTGACATCTTTGCTTTTCAACACTTGAAAGAGGTCTTTTGCAGCAAATTTGCCCAGTGCAATGTGTTGTTTGATTTCTTGACTGCTGCTTCCATGGGCTTTGATTGTGGATCCAAGTAAAATGAAATCTTTGACAATTTCAGTGTTTTCTCCGTTTATCATGATGTTGCTTATTGGTCCAGTTGTGAGGATTTTTTTATTTTCTTTATGTTGAGGTGTAATCCATACAACCCCTGGTGACACAGGGGTTAAGTTGGTTGGCAGTTAGAACACACCAGCCTCTCTGGAGGAGAAAGATATGACAATCAACTTCTGTAAAGATTACAGCTTTGGAAACCCTATAGGGCATTTCTACTCTGTCCTATAGGGTTGCTATGAGTCGGAATCCACTCGATGGCAATGGGTTTGGTTTTTTTTTGTTTGTTTGTTTGGGTAATCCATACTGAAGGTTGTGGTCATTGATCTTCATCAGTAAGTGCTTCAAGTCCTTTTTGCTTTCAGCAAGCAAGGTTGTATCATCTGCATATCATAGGTTGTTAATGAGTCGCCCTCCAATACAGATGTCATGTTCTTCTTCATATAGTCCAGCTTCTCAGATTATTTGCTCAGCACACAGATTGAATAAGTATGGTGAAAGGATGCAACACTGACACACAAATTTCCTGATTTTAATCCACACGGTATCCCCTTGCTCATCATGAATGACTACCTATTGGTCTATGTACAGATTCCACATGAGCACAATTAAGTCTCTGGAACTCCCTTTCTTCGCAATGTTATCCTAATTTGTTATGATGCACACAGTCGAATGCGTTTGCATAGTCGATAAAACACAGGTAAACATCTTTCTGGTATTCTCTGCTTTCAGCCAAGATCCATCTGACATCAGTAATGATATCCTTCATTCCATGTCCTTTCTGAATCTTGAATTTCTGGCAGTTCCCTTTCGATGTACCACTGCAACTATTTTTGAATTATCTTCAGCAAAATTTTCTTAAGTGTAATATTAATGATATTGTTTGATAATTTCCACATTTGGCTGGATCTCCTTTCTTTGGAATGGACACAAATATGGATCTCTTCCAGTCAGCTGGCCAGGTAGCTGTCTTCTAAATTTCTTGACATAGATGAGTGAGAGTTTCCATCGCTGCATTCGTTTATTGAAACATCTCAGTTGGTGTTCCATCAATTCTTGGAGCTTTGTTTTTCACCAGTACCTTCAATGCAGCCTGGACTTCTTCCTTCAATACCATCAGTTCTTGATCGTGTACTGCCTCTGGAAATGACTGAACATCAACCAATTCTTTTTGGTACAGTGACTCTGTGTATTCCTTCCAACTTCTTTTGATGCTTCCTGTGTAGTTTAATATTTTGCCCCTAACTGAAAACCAAACTCATTGCCATTGAGTCGATTCCAACTCATAGCCACCCTATAGGACAGAGTAGAACTGCCCCATAGGGTTTCCAGGGAGTGGCTGGTGGATTTGAACTGTCGACATTTTGATTAGCAGCCAAGCTCTTAACCACTGCGCCACCAGGGCTCCATTTTGCCCATAGAATCCTTCATATTGCAACTGGAGGCTTGATTTTTTTTTTTTTTTTTTTCATTTCTTACAGCTTGAGAAATGCTGAGTATGTTCTTCCTTTTTGGTTTTCTAACTCCAGGTCTTTGCACATTTCATTATAATACTTTACTCTGTCTTCTCGAGCCGCCCTTCGAAATCTTCTGTTCAACCTTTTACTTCATCATTTCTTCCTTTTGCTTTAGCTACTCTACATTTAAAAGCAAGTTTCAGAGTCTCTTCTGACATCCATTTTGGTCTTTTCTTTCTTTCCTGTTTTTTTAATAAGCTTTTGCCTCCTTTATGTATGATGTCCTTGATATCATTCCACAACTTGTCTGATCTTCGGTCATTAGTGTTCAATGCCTCCAATTTATTCTTGAGATGGTCTCTAAATTTAGGTGGGATACACTCAAGGTAGTACTTTGGCTCTCATGGACTTGTTTTAATTTTCTTCAGCTTTAATTTGAACTCTCATATGAGCAGTTGATGGTCTGTTCCACAGTTGGCCCCTGGCCTTGTCCTGACTGATGATATTGAGCTTCTCCATCGTTTCTTTCCACAAATGTAGTTGATTTGATTCCTGTGTATTCTATCTGGTGAGGTTCACGTGCATAGTCACCATTTATGTTGTTGAAAATAGATATTTCCATTGAATAGGTCTTTTTTCTTGCAAAATTTTATCATGCTATCTCCGGTGTTGTTTCTATCACCAAGGCGGTATTTTCCAACTACTGATCCTTCTTCTGTTTCCAACTTTTGCATCCTATCATCAGTAATTATCAGTGCATCTTGATTGCATGTCTGATCAATTTCAGACTGCAGAAGTTGGTAAAAATATTCAATTTCTTTATCTTTGGCATTAGTGTTTATTTCATAAATGTGAATAATAGTCATATTAACTGGTCTTCCTTGTAGGCATGTGAATATTATCCTATCACTGACAGCATTATACTTCCGGATAGATCTTGAATTTACATTCAGATAACGTACAGACTGTGTATTCTATAGTTCAGATTTTTTTTCCTTTTTTATTCCAGCCACCTTTCTATGGACACCAGAAGGCGTGTGGGCCTATCACTAAAATATCCAATCATTGTTCTCTGAGAGTAAGTCAGAGTCAGTTGAAGTGGATTTTAGTGTTCATCTACTGAACTAGTTAATAACTGGACCCTGGGCAAAGGTTAATGAAATTCCATTGTCAGAATTTTCCATGAGGAGGAGGTGGTTTCTCCAGTATACAGCTATCTGAAAGGCAAGATGCAATGTGGAGTGGGCTGCCGCAAGATGTCATCAAGTTCAAGTTCCCTTTGATGGTACCTATACTGTTGGCCAATGTGTTCTATCCTTGGACTATTGGCCTGTCCACATTCACCCTGACCATTGCTTAACTGTTTCCTGTAGAAAGGGAGCAGGTAGATTCTGATTGGTTCTTTTTCCCATTAAATTTAGAATCATCTTAATAATAGCTCCATTGCTTCAACAAACAAGCTTTCATTTCACCTTAAATTTTGTGAGGATTAGAGGAGCCCTGATTGCCCAGTGGGTAAGCACTCGGCTGCTAACCAGAAGGTCAGTGGTTTGAACCTACCAGCCACTCTGTGGGAGAAAGATGTGGCAGTCTGCTTCCGTAAAGATTTACAGCCTTGGAAACCCTATGAGGCAGTTCTGTTCTGTCTGTAGGGTTGCTGTGAGTCGGAATTAGCTCAATGGCAATGGGTTTGCTTTGGTTTTGGTTTTTGTAAGGATTAGTCATTAATACTTGCCATGGGGTTGTCAGTACCGGCAAAAAAGAAAGGGAGGCATTTTGCAGAACTCTTCCCGTTTGTCTCCCAACCCCTCCCACCCTTTATTCATACCAGACCTTTCACCTACGCCTGGTTATTAATTCTTGGCTGAAAATCAGCCCAGAGTAGAGAGAGGAACATTGAATAAGCAATCAGAAAGCTGAGCTCACATTCTGACTCTGCTGCTTACTGGCTATGTGTCCTTGTAGAGATCTCTAAGCCCCTCGGAGCCTTAAGCTTCTCATCTGGGAAATGGGAACAAAGCCCACCTCACTGTGTGATTGTGAAGCTCACATGGGTCAATGCATGAGAATTATAACACCAGGTACAGTATGTATAGGACTCAGTGAATACTAATTCCATCCCCTCCCTTTTTATCTCCTCCCAAACTTTGGTCCTATATAGAGTCCCAAGTCTAGTTCACTCTTTTACTTATAGATTCTTGAAACCAAATGCTCAGCAAGTTAATTTACCTGCCCAAAGTGTTACAATGGATTAATGGCAGAGCAAAAGTGGAATCCTCTTGTAACACAGAGGTGCAGGTCTCTGCCCGCCTCATCACATTGCTGAGGGCTAAATGGTTCATCAAGCTGCTTGACTTGACAAGTTGGCTTGCTGAGGACCTCCATTGCCCCACAAGTCTGTGTATTCATGTTCCTTCTCTCTCCTTTCCTGACCCCAGGTTTTGACCCCCAGCCACTTTCTTGTCACAGTTCCAATGAAAGGCCTGGCTGGGTACAGGGAGGCCAAGGAACGGCACTGGCGGTACTACACTCTGCAGGGGGCCAGGCTCCGCACCCCTGTGCGGAGCCCAGAGGACCTCCAGCAGTGGCTGGAGGTGAAGCAGTTTATGAAGAACCTATGGCAGTGGCATGAGGCAGATGTGAATATCGAGGGCGACATCGTGCCTGCCAAGGTCCTCCAGGTGTTCCAGAAGCTGGTAGAAAATGCAGTTAGAACCTGTCACTTCTCGGGTGAGCTAATCCAGAAAAGCACAAGGGAAATTTCTGGCATTTCTCTTTTATTGTAAAAATCTTCTGCAGAACAGACAATGCCCTGTTACTTGAAGCCCAAGTTTTAGACAATAATTGATGTGCTCCTTACATTTGTATAATCCCCATAATTTCAATTAGCTATTTTTTCTGCATGACACAGAAGAATGGAATTCATCCCCAAACACACTCCCATGGATTTAGCTAGATTACTGGCTGTGGCACAGATACGATGGCCTGGGAGTTAGGCGCCCTTTCCAGGAGGTCAGCTTAAAAACTTAAATGTACTTTTTTTTAGAAAGTAACTTATTCACGAACCTTAGATCTTTGGTATTATCACATGTCTAGTGTAATACCCTCCGACTGGCTGCAGTTTCCACATTCTTGTACCAAACCACTGACTTGTACCAAAACACAAAATCCAAAAGCCATAAAGAACTGTGACACCTCCCAAATTTTAAGCTACAGTGCAGTGTGACACACACACACAAACACACACATACATCCTTTTTGTTCAACACAAAGAGGATGAATTGCTGATTTCCTTTGTTATCAAAAAGAATTTATCAACCAATAAGAAAAAAAGATGAAGGGGCCAATAGAAATAATGACAAAAACCTGAATCACAGGAAAAGGATATAAATAGCTAGTAAAATGTTAAAAAACATTTCCTGTAATGTATATTTCAAGTGCACTTTAAAATACCTAGCAGGTTAATGGAGATGAAAAAGTATGATCATGCTCAGTGTGGGGAGAGATATGAGGAGTCAGGCATTTTCAGACATTGTTCTTGGAAGGGTAAATTAGTGCCTCCATTTTGTCAATTTTTATTTTTATAAGGTGCTTACTTGGCAATCCAGCAATGCCAGTCTAGATATATATTCATTCAAATACACAAAGAAATATACATGAGGATATTCACTGCAGTAAGTTTTATAATTTCAGCTCACTAATGTCTAGGATATCGATGTTTATGTGTTGCATTTCATTTTTGACAACTTACAGTTTTCTTAGATTCATACTTTGTACATTCCACATTCCTATTATTAATGGATGTTTACAGTTTTTTCTTCTCATTTTGAGTTGTGCCACATCAGCAAAGGAAGGTCTAGAAAGCTTGACTCCATCCACGTTATTAAGGTCGACTCTACTTTGAGGAGGCAGCTCTTCCCCAGTCGTATTTTGAGTGCTTTCCAACCTGAGAGTCATCTTCTGGCACTGTATCACACAATGTTCTGCTGCTATTCATAAGGTTTTCACTGGCTAATTTTTTCAGAAGTAGACTGCCAGATCCTTCTTCCTAGTCTGTCTACTGTAAGCTCAGCTGAAACCTGTCCACCATGGGTGACCCTGCTGGTATTTGAAATACCAATAGCATAGCTTCCAGCATCACAGTGATAAGCAAGCCACCACAATGACAAACTGATAGATGTGTGAAAAATTAAAGAGGAATGGCGTTACAGTCATTGTTAAAATGACATTTCAAGATCTACCCTGTAGTACAATGCCGTCAGTGATGGAATAATATCTATACACCTACAAGGAAGAAGAATTAATATGACTATTGTTCAAATTTGTGCATCAACTACTAATGCCAAAGATGAGGAAATTGAAGATTTTTACCAACTTCTGCAGTCTGAAATTGATCAAACATGCCATCAAGATGCATTGATAATTACTGGTGATTGGAAAATAAAAGTTGGAAGCAAAGAAGAAGGAACAGTAGTTGGAAAATATGGCCTTGGGAATAGAAGTGACGCCAGAACAGAGATCACAGGATAGAATTTTGCAAGACTAACGACTTCTTCATTGCAAATACCTTTTTTCACCAGCATAAATGGTGACCATATGCATGGACCTTGCCATATGGAATACACAGGAATCAAACTGACTACATTTGTGGAAAGAGACAATGGAAAAGCGCAGTATCATCAGTAAGAACAAGGCCAGAGGCTGACTGTGGAACAGACCATCAATTGCTCATATCCAAGTTCAAGTTGAAGTTGAAGAAAATTAGAACAAGTCCACGAGAGCCAAAGTATGACCTTGAGTATATTCCACCTGAATTTAGAATAGATTTGATGCATTAAACACTAATTACTGAAGATCAGATGAGTTGTGGAATGACATCAAGGACATCATACACGAAGAAAGCATAAGGTCCTTAAAAAGACAGGAAAGAAAGAAGATACCAAAATAGGTATCAGAAGAAATTCTGAAACTTGTTCTTGAATGTAGAGTAGCTAAAGCAAAAGGAAGAAATGATAAAGTAAAAGAGCTGGATAGAAGATTGCAAAGGGTGGCTTGAGAAGACAAATTAAAGTATTATAATGAAATGTGCAAAGATTTAGAGTTAGAAAACCAAAAGGGAAGAACACACTCAGCATTTCTCAAGCTGAAAGAACTGAAGAGACAATTCAAGCCTCAAGCTGTGATATTGAAGGATTCTATGGGGAAGATCTTAAACAATGCAGGAAGCATTAAAAGAAAATGGAAGGAATACACAGAGTCACTATACCAAAAAGAATTGGTCAACGTTCAACAATTTCATGAGGTAGCTTATGATCAAGAACCGATGGTACTGAAGGAAGAAGTCCAAGCTGCACTGAAGGCTTTGGAGAAAAACAAGGCTCCAGGAATTGATGGAATATCAACTGAGATGTTTCAACAAATGGGTGCAGTGCTGGAAGCTCCCACTTGTCTATGCCAAGAAATTTGGAAGACAGCTACCTGGCCAACTGACTGGAAGAGATCCATATTTGTGCCCATTCCAAAGAAAAGTGATCCCACCGAATGCGGAAATTGCCAAACAATATCATTAATATCACCCACAAGTAAAATTTTGCTGAAGATCATTCAAAAGTGGTTGCAGCAATACATCCACAGGGAAGGGAACTAGAAGAAATTCAAGCTGGATTTAGAAGAGGACGTGGAATGAGAGATATCATTGCTGATGTTAGATGGATCTTGGCTGAAAGCAGAGAATACCACAAAGATGTTTCCCTGTGTTTTATTGACTATGCAAAGGCATCAACTGTGTGGATCATAACAAATTATGGATAACATTATGAAGAATGGGAATTTCAGAACACTTAATTGTGCTCATGAAGAACCAGCAGTCTTTTAAACAGAACAAGGGGATCCTGTGTGATTTAAAATGTGACTCGAGTGAAAGTGACCGTGGTCACTCTTCTTTCCGACTGCACCCTGTATCTGCCCACCTGGCTTACAACAGTGGCAGAAATACAGGCTTTTGTTAGGCATTTAGTTTTTAAATGTGGGGCCAGATGGCCCCACTGCCCCCTGGGCCGGCACTGCCCCAGTCAGAGTAAGAGGGACCCTGGCCCTGAACTGTCCTCCCTCTGCCCCCAACCCCCAGGTACAAGTTAGAGGACGCAGTCTCCCACCAGCTAAACCACGGGAAAGGTGTGCATCAGGGTTGTATCCTTTCACCATACTTATTCAAACTGTATGCTAAGCAAATAATCTGAGAAGCTGAACTATATGAGAAGAATGCAGTATCAGGATTGGAGGAAGACTCATTAACAACCTGCGATAT